TGGAATAGATATTTGATGATGTAATTATTGCTAATTTTCATAGATGTGATAATGGCACTGTGGTTATTAGGAGAATATCCTTATTCTTAGAAGTATTTTGCAGTGCAAATCATAAACATGCAAGTTAACTCAAATGTTTTAGATTAAAAAGTCTATACAGAAAACTGTGGCAAAATGTTAATTACTGGATCCATGTGGAGGGTACATGAATGGTCAATATACTCCCCCCCCCCCACCTCTAACTTTTCTGTATGTTTGAAATCTTTCAAAAAAGTTGAGGGTGGAAGCAAACTGACCCAGGGATGGCCCAGGCAGTTGTGTAACCACAACTCGGAGAAAATATGAAAAGATTCGGTTATTCTTAAACTAAGTTTTTCTTTGTAGAATTGCCTGCTGATTTCTTAAGAGCACAAATAATACTCTTTGAACTTGGGTGTTTTAGCATTCTTATATAAAGCTAAAGACCATGAAATAGTAAGAAATTTGCTCAGAAAAGGCTTTTGTTTTCACATACTGAAACGCAGCCGTGATAGTTAAGTGAGCTTCCTAAACAGTATTTTGGAACAGTAGCTCTAACCAACAGATCTTAACATTTTTTTGGATCCTTGACCTATAGGAAAATTTCATGAAAGCTGTAGTTTCTCCCCAGAAAAAAGCACGTAGACTCCCAAATTGTGTATACAATTTCAGAGGTTCCCCACATAGCCTCCAAAGCCTGTGCATGAGCCAAGACCTTTGCCTGCTCTTTTCTGAAGGAGCTGCTGAGAATACTATAGACAATAAGGTCGTTTCGCGTATAAAATTTAAATACGTAAGCAAATTTCGTCTCACAAGCATAAAACTTGTGTAATAAACTTTCTGCCTTTATGTGAAAGGTAAAAAGACAAATGATTTTTTTAAATGTAAATAAAGTCAAATACGGATTACAGCGCACATGCACTCCTCTGGCTGCTATTTGAGAAGCAATCCCGTTTTCAAAACAAAATAAAAAGTCTTTGCCAAGTGCTGTACCCATATATGCCTTCTCAGTATCTAGATCACACCAGGCATAACTCCTGCGCTTTCTTTTCTCCTTACCTCCCCGATTTGAAAAAGGAAGACAGTTCAATTCAACCTCAGAACCCCAAACTCCCCAAAGGGGTTGTGGGTATTGTAGTCCTCTGCACACGCGCACCAGAGGTAGGTTAGGGTGATTTACAAAGGCTGCAGAACAATCTATTGCTGAGCATATAAAAGGTCATGCTTCTTTATACCCTAAACAAGGAAATAAAACAATAACGTTGACAGAGATAAGTCAGAAGACGGACCTCAACCTGCAAGTCCCAGTGTGCTTTGCGCCGCCAACCAGGCAGTGCAGCTATCGCGCCTGCGCCGGCGCAGCACTAACTTCTGCGGGGCTAGTGGCGACCCGGCCTGCGCCTCCGAGACCACTGCGGAGAGGAAAGATGTGGGTTTTCGGTTACGGGTCCCTGATCTGGAAAGTGGACTTCCCCTATCAGGACAAGCTGGTTGGATACATTACAGGCTACAGCAGGCGCTTCTGGCAAGGCAGCACAGACCACCGCGGAGTCCCCGGCAAGGTGAGCCGCTAAGCCAGTACCCCACACTTACTGTCCCTGGAGCGCTGCTCCCCAACTGCTAGCCCATTTCCGCGGGACCCACACCCCAAAGCTTTCGAGGGCCAAGCATGTGGGTTAGAGAATGCTGTTACATCTGTTAATCTTTCTCGGCCACCTGCCTCCCATCTCTCCCAAACCTAGGGCACTGCTTCCGAAGCCACTTCAGAAGCTGGTGGTTAGTTTCCTAAGGAGGCAAGAAGCATGGGCACAAGCACACAAGCTCGCTCAAAGCTGACGTCCTGGCAGCGGGCCCCATCCGTTGTTAACCACTGCCAAAAAAAAAAACCAAAACGCGGAAAAATCAATCTTGGAGTCACCACGAAGTTGAAAACTAAAACCAACTTGCAAATACAGCTTTTCAGCAATTAAATTTGTTGGCATTTCTGCATTCTGGCAGACTTGCACTAGTTTGAGTTTAAACGTGTATGCCATTTCTGGGGTTTCTTTATATCTTTCCAAAGGTTATATCTTAGGACACCTACAGTCACGTAAGAACTAGTTAACGAAATTGCCTCGAGTTATTTAAGGAGCTTACTTTGATCATTTTGGTTGTTAAGTACTGGCGGAGTTAAATGAGTTTCCCGTTTGTTACTTGATTAACACAGTACCCATGACTATATCGAGCATTATTTTAATGTTTCTTTCTCAATGATTCTCTAATTTTCAACTGTGAAATGTAAGTTCTCTGATCCATTTTTCAGTCATGCAAAGACATTTCATCTCAATATATTTGTACAGAGAATTAGTAGCAGCTCATTGCTAATGTAAATCAGCCTTGTATTGGCTGCAAAACAACAAATCCATAAGGAAAACTTACTTTTGAGTAACTAACAATTTAGATAACTTCTTCAATACTTGTTTTAGAAGGGTTATTAACCTTATTCACTTTTGTAAGAGCACAAAATTTTTTATTGCTTACGTGTCCTCTAAAATACTCTGAAAGTTGTATGAACTTGATTACATTTTTTAAAGAGATTAACATTGGTCCAAAAGCACAATATCTTAAATGCTAAAACTCACATGTAGAAAGAGATTGGGGTTAATTCCAAAGAAATACCTGCAGTTGTGGAAAGAGGAAGAGAGAAAGGCTGTAGTGTGTACCTGCTCATAAAAGAGATAACAGGATTAAAATTACAAAAAGAGTCTGAGTTCGAAGCCATTCTACCTCAACCAAAGTTGATGAACTGAGAATTTAGCTTTACGATAAATGACTTGAAAACAGGGGAGTGACTTAGAGCAAATGCACATTTATAGGCCAACAGAAACTTCATGGCCAAAATATCTCCAAGAATGTTACAAAACAATATTTAAGTCTTTAAAGAACTAAGTTAAATAAAATGTCTTTTGAGTTGTCAGATATGAACACTTAAAATTGCCATTCTGAATAGAAAATCCTTAGATCAGGCTCCAATTTTAATAACCAAGTATTAAATACTTTATGAATATGGTTATAATAGCATATTTTACTACCATAGTCTCAACCAAAATGTATATTTATTACATAGCACATTGAGGTAAGTAAACAGTGATAACAGACTGGTAAGAAATTGTCAATACAACAGTTCACAATTCTTTAAAAGATGAGAGCTATAAAAGCCAGTATCTTTTTACTTAAATTTACTAAATTGTAAGGCAAGAACGTTAGGGAGGAAAAATGCAATAGCTAATAGTTTTATATCTACTTTTATTTAAAGAATTTATCATAGCAAATTAAAGGAAAGTCTAAGTACTAAACATTTTTTAAGAATACTGTTAAAAAAAAACCTCAAAGAGCATTATTTCACTTCACATTTTTTATTGTAAAAGGATCACCAACCTTATATAAATATTACCTGTCTGACAAACAATACAAAAGCCTACAGAAATATCCAGCAAATTAGAAGAATGACATAGTCTTATATAGCATCTATCTTTTTTACAGCAACTTATGATCCAAGTAAGTTAGTCATCATTACATATGAAATGTGGTATTATTAAAATGTTAGATTTATTTCCACATACTGCAATGTGACATTTATGGGGAAAAATACCAAACCTGCTTGCTTTTATTAAATTATGCTTTCTTTTTGGCTTCATTAAACTTTAATTTCTTCGTAAGTTTAATCAAGCATCTCATTTATATACAACTGGCAATTTCTCTCCAATTTAAGGATTTATTTAAATGTGAAAATTTTTTCACATCAGAGAATATATAAATTTCAATTTCAAAATGAGGAAACATTTTAACACCAGAGATAATCATGAATATTTACTAAATCCCTAACTTTTCTAGATCAAAAACATTCCTCATTCATTACTGAATGCAAGTACCCATCATGACTCATATTTCACAATAGTTCCATTCAGCTCAGAAGACTCCTTCAGTTTGAATCCCCCCAAAAAGCATTTAAGTGAATTTTCAAATTTACACAGTTTTCAATAACATTTATATTTTAGGGACAAAAGAGCTTAAGTTTTAGAAAATGTATCAGTAGTGCCAACAACAGTCCATCTCTGTTCCATCCATAAGCAGTCACAGGGATCCATTTATGTTCCCTTAAAATGATTCTCTATATAATACTGTTCTCTGTTTCAACTGCCACCACCTAAGTCCAAGACTTGACTACCCCTCCTCCCCCTTTCAACAATTACTACTGAGCACTTACATGTAGGTGGGAGACACCTATGCAAACAATACCTGGTAAGTGCTATAAAGGAAATGAATAAAGGGAACAATGAGCTTTTAGGAGGAGCTGCTGCTCCTTCTTTACTGCCTCTGCAGTCCTCTGGGGAGTCACCCAGGCCTTTATGGAGAATGGCAGGAGGATATCACAAGGTTGTAAAAGAAAGGGCATGCTACACTGGGCACCGGTGTAGCCAAAATATGAAAGTTTGTAAAAGGTATAAATAATTCAGTACAGCTTGAGGGAAAAGTGGTAAGAAATGAGGTTTGTAGTTAAGTCACGATAAGGAATTTTTATTTTATCCTGTAGAATACAATCCTGAAAAATTCAAAGCACGGGAGTGGTCCACTTTTTGCCCCCAAAAGTCGTTCCAGGGCCAAACAGAACAGACTGGAGGGAAACAAAACTAGAAGCAGGCAGTGAGATCCCTAAAGCAGCAATTGAAGGATGAAGAGCAACCAGATTCAGAAGATAATCAGAAGACAGAGCTGCCAAGAACTGGTGACTTGGCTGAATGTAAGGGGAGGCACTGAAAGGTGCAGCACACAACTTGCCACCTGGACCGCTAACTAACATTTCTTACTCAGAACCTACCTCCTTCCCACTCTAATTTGCACACTGTACACTTCACCATAGTGATCTTCCCAAATACTTCTTTCATCACACTAGTCATCTGCTTCTCAGATGCTAGAATAGCTCCTTATTTCCAATTTCTCCCAAATTTCAGCAACTTCTTATTTTCCACTTTCCCCTAATTTCCACTCTACTCTTTGGCTTTTCAAATCTGACTCTGTCCTATTTCTCCAGTTATCTTTCTGTATCATCTTCCCTACATGGGGGACCCTCTGCTAAAGTCAGATACTTAGCATGGTCTAATACTGCCTCTAGGTTCTCCTCAATCATGTCACAGTGCCAGAATTTTGTCTTCCTTTCTGACCCCTCAAGACTCAATTCTTACTGCACTTAATACCATACATCTCAGCTCTTAAATATTCTCTACCTAAATTTCACATGTTAAGTTCATATTCCAGAATTACAATGTAAGCTCCTGGAAACAAGAATCAAGGTTTTATCTTTTCTACAACACAGAGTAGGTAGTCAATAAATAGGTCCTAATTCACTTTGAAATTTAAAGTCATATGGCAATACCTACATGACCCACACCAATATATGTATCCTCAGTGTAGCATCATAAGTGGAAAACAAGTCAAATCTAAATGTCCAACAATACAGGAGTGTTTAAATTATAGTTCACTGATAGAATATTATACAAATATTAAAATGTATGAGAAGACTAACAGGAAAATAAGAAACAAAATCCAAAATCTCATATATTCCATGATTACAAATCATCTATACAAGTAAACAAAGCCTAGAAGGAAATAGCAACAAAGATGACACAAATATATGAATGACTTAGGCTCACTATGCCAGACAATGGGCATCAAGTAAAATTGTGGTTTACAACTCAGCATCCTTATTAATGATGTTAACACGTCAGCAGATACATACATAACCTTTGGCACCAAGTAGGAACTTTGTTTTTTTAAGCAAATTCTCAGACAACTCCAGACTTACAGAATCAGAAACTCTGAGAGTGTAACCTAGCAATGTGTGTTTATCAAGCCCTCCAAATAATTTTGATCTACACTAAAGTTTGAGAACCACTTCCCTATATGAAAACACCCTGGAATGCCATGTTTTATTCCCTAATAAAACTACAACAACCTTTCTTATTTTCCTAAGGGGAAAAAAATAACCAGAACTTTTATTTATAAAACTGCTTCTTCCTTTTGCCTTTAACTTTAAATGAGTCTTAGTCACAGATATGTTTTTTAATATATCCATTTTAAGTCAACATAATATATACCTAAAATGTAGAAATTGAGGGAATGACTTAGAAATAGTTGGATAAAGTAGATTCTTTTACTTAATTCATTTTAATATTTATCATAAAAAATAAGTGCTTTTTAAGAAAAGTGTTTAGTATGAATAAATGAAGTTAAAATATTGCATGTCAAGAATAAGTTGCTAATGCTCAGTTAGTTGATTAACTTCAGTTGAGGAAAAAAAAAAAAACTTTTTTTTTTTTTTTAACAGCCTGGAAGAGTTGTGACTCTTGTTGAAGATCCTGGGGTATGGTATAATTATTTTTTTGTATAGTCTTTAATCACATAAGCTGTTGAGATGTTTCTCAGTTTTAATAATAAATGAAATTGTATTAACAGTCTTTACAATTTGAACTACACTAGGTCTAGACTTCTTCTCTGTATTTGTCATCTTTCTTTCCATCTGTTGGAAAAAGTTGGAATGCAGAATGCAAGGTAGACGACAAAAGAAAACTAAATGGCATATAGTCTCCCTTTTTTTTTCCTGAATGAGTTTGTTAACTGAGAATTTTGTGCTCCCCTTGACATTAACAGAGCCAGCCCAACTAACACTGAAAATCAAATGGAACCCATAAGCTCCCCTCACATTTGCTAGGAGTCTAATATTTTCAGCAAAAATTCTAGTCAGGAATTATTACTTTCTTATAGCCTAAATTTATCAATAGCACAAGAGAATTTTTTTTTTCTTAATAATTTTTTTTTTTACAATTACTACTACACCTTCTTGACTGGAACTCCACAGCAGGTTTTTAAACAGGTTTGGAGCACTAGAAAACTTTTATTTGCCCAGTAGTCCTGTTTCCTAAATATTTTCATTCATTTTATTGAGGTATAGCTTCAAAGTTTTACATGGTGAAGTGAAAGATTTAACTTTGGAAAGGACTTTGATATACAAAAACCAGCAGCTAGCAATAGCAGATGAATAATGGTAAAATTACGAAATGCTTTCATAATTTACATTAGGAAAAGCATCTATAAAAGTGGCTTCAAACTGGTAACTAATAACTCTTCAAGTTAATAAAGGCACTTCGTTTCTACAGAGTGTTAATTCATTCACGGATACTTAGCAACCTAAATAAAGTTTAATAATTAAAGTTAATAAAGGTTGTCAAGAAACTAGAAAATCTGCTTTACAAACTATAAATCTTGCTTAAATCACAGATATTTTAATACTAAAAAAATTTTTTAAATTAACATACATTTTTTAATGACATTTTGTTCATGAGCTCTCTTGACAAAAGAGGTTGCCATGTCATATTCTGTATGGAGTAGTTTACAAAAGCTATTTCAAAGTTTAGGCGTGAAGAAATGAACAAATTAAACGAACCTGCCATATGGCCTTAGCTAGTTGATTACTTTATTACAGAGCATTTAAAATATAGAACACTTACTGCAATAAAGGGAACACCTAATATGTAAAAAGATAACTGATGTTCAGCTCCTACCTGAAGGAGTTGGAATGTCAAGATCCTCCCAGCCAGCACCCCAACACTCATATCAAGGTCGGCTCCGGGTTGGCTGCCAATACTCCTTGAAGCAGTTTGGAAACTACTGCCCTATACCATCAGTGTACTGCTTATGGATTTAAAACTTTATAATTATATTTTTAAGGGCCAAATGAAGATCTGATATTTTTTTCATTTCAACTGCATTAGTTAAGACATAACTTTCAAAATTTTAAACAAAGATAAATATCCTGGTATGCAAGGAAATAATTTATTTAGATTGAACAATTTAAAATGCTGATTTCCATTATTGTTTAGTATGTACCTCTTCAATGCACTAAGTGAAGAAAATTGCATTGATTTCTAAGAATTTACAAGATAAAAATATTTTCTTAGATCACAATATATCTTCACCTATTTTAGCCTTGTAAATACTAAATAATCTTTTCATTTTTCAACAGGGTTGTGTATGGGGTGTTGCTTACAGACTGCCAGTAGGAAAGGAAGAAGAAGTAAAAGCATACCTTGACTTTAGAGAGAAAGGAGGCTACAGGACCACAACAGTCAATTTTTATCCAAAAGATCCCACAACAAAACCATTTAGCGTGTTGCTATATATTGGAACATGTGATAATCCTAATTACCTTGGTCCTGCACCTCTGGAAGACATTGCTGAACAAATTTTTAATGCAGCTGGTCCAAGTGGAAGAAATACTGAGTATCTTTTTGAGCTTGCAAATTCTATTAGGAACCTTGTGCCAGAAGATGCAGACGAGCATCTTTTCTCTTTGGAAAAATTAGTAAAGGACCGTTTAGAAGGAAAACAGAACCTCAACTGCTTATAAAGACCTAATCATTGACTTCCAAACAAGCAGAGCTTTTAGTCTTTAGAAAATAGTTTCTGCACAATGACAATGTGGTTTAGAAACATGTTTACTTGAAGATCTTATTTATTTTTAATGTAGTCAAGATATCAAAATTTATAGTTTAATTGCTGGTGTCCTGAAACACATACATATTCAAAATAATGGGGTACGGTAAAGAAAAATAATTCAAGTTTTAATAATAATGATTTCCTAACTATATAATATTGAACACTTGCTCATGAGAAGTGAGTTCTTTAGAAAAATACAATGAAGGATGCAGTTTAAAGCTTGTTTTTATCAGAGTAAAAAATAATTGTTACTTCATATCACAATACTATTTTAAAGTTGTGGAGAATTAAACCAAAAATCCAGTCAATATAATAGGGCTATACCTTCATTATTGTAAGAATGTACAATAATTCTTAATCAAAATTCTGTAATCATGGTTTAAAATATGCAAGCTTAAAATAATGGGTAATTAGAAATATACAGTAATATAGATAAGATTTCAGCCTTGACTGTGAACTTTCTTGTTGAGGTGTTAAATGAGACCCTTTCCAATTTAAGCCAAAAAAATATATATATATATATAGCATTTTTAATATAAAAATGTCCTTGGAATTATAATGTACTGTACCTCTCCTCTTTTGAGTAAATGCATTAACCACATGGAAGAAACTCACTTAGCTAAAAAAGCACAAATTACATAATACAAATCACATCTACTAACAATGTCTGTCATTCACTTTGTATTAATCTTATACTGAAATTTTTAAAAAAAAAATAAAGATGGGCTTTCTAATATTACATATTAACAAACATATATAATGAAAGTTTGATGTTTGAAATGGCTTTTAGAATTGTAATGTTTTTTTAAAGTGGCATTACCTGATCATTTCTTACACAGCTTTTTTTTCCTGCGTCTACCTTGTGACATAAAGATATCCATTAAATGGTGTTGATGCTGCTGCTCAAGCATTATTAATTCATACAGAATTAGCCTTGATTCAATCTAATCAGATTATTTCTGATTATAGGTGATTCCTTTCTCAATAGAATATATAGTCTACAAATCTTTAACATGAAAAGAATTTCAGTATCACATTAAATCTAATATGAAATTTAATAAAAATTCCTCTAACCCAGGCATGCCTAATAATACAGAATAAAATAAAGCTTTCCTACATGTCAGGAACAGTAGTCTCTGTCATGTCTTTCTATTTATTAACACCTTACAGGGTATACTTTACTCAGCTATATAGCTTTTTCAATATTTTACAACATTTTCAATATTAGTTTTCCAGAAGGCATTTCACTAGTCCTGTACAACAAGAAAGGTACATTCATTAATGAATATCTTATAAGGATATATCAGGCACTTCACATATGGAAGCATTTTCTGGATAACACTTCTGAGCTTGTTTCCACAGTATACATAATTTGTACACAGTTACACATCAAATAATTAGCAGAAATCCAGGTTTCTCTGACTCCTAAGCACAAGATCTTTCTGCAATATATTTAAAAACTCCTTAAACGTAACCATCTTCATTACCTTGCAACTTTTCTTTAGGAGGTAAACACGGTTTATGTTTTATATAATGAAATAGTATGTAACTTGTTACATAAAGATGTTTTAGTTAATTTTGATAGCTATAGGAGGTCTGACAGCTAAGTTCGCACACTTGTTGCAACAACGTTGCTGACCTTTTTTGATGTCAGAGGGATTATTCATGATGAATTTCTACCAACTGGACAAACAGTTAACCAAGTTTATTATCTGGAAGTGCTAAAAGGGCTGTGTGAAAAAGTTAGACAACCTGAACTTTTCACCAACAATTCATGGCTCTTGCATCACGACAATGCACCAGCTCACACAGCACTGTCTGTGAGGGAGTTTTTAGCCACTAAACAAATAACTGTATTGGAACACCCTCCCTACTCACCTCATCTGGCCCCCAATGACTTCTTTGTTTACCCAAAGATAAAGGAAATATTGAAAGGAAGACATTTTGATGACATTCAGGACATCAAGGGTAGTATGACAACAGCTCTGATGGCCATTCCAGAAAGAGTTCCAAAATTGCTTTGAAGGGTGGACTAGGCACTGGCATCAGAGCATAGCTTCCCAAGGGGAATACTTTAAAGGTGACTGTAGTGATATTCAGCAATGAGGTATGTAGCACTGTTTCTAGGATGAGTTCGCGATCTTAATTGTCACACCGTGTATATAGATTCCCACAAATATAATGAGCTTATCTAAGAATCACAATCACATAGGTGAATTCAAAGATTTAGCCTTTTATTTTACAAGCAAACCTGACTCCAAAGGAGTTTATGATTCCCCATTGATTCTTCTACCATTTAATACGTATATAACTTTCTAGACCAAACTGTTAAGTATTTTTACAGCCCTTGGAATGGAACTCACTTTCAAAACATTTTCTCATTCTGCCCTAATCACACATACACAAAACTCAGACTCATTCCTAAGAGTACAAATAGGTGTTAAGTTTTATGAATTTAAGAAAAGTATGAGTATATACCCTACACTGAGAAAAGAAACTTGCAATATAATTCTTTAATGGAGTGGATTTTTAAAAACAGGTCTTTCTACTATTGGAGGCCAGTATTATATTTCCTTTTCCCACTCCCAAACAACACATTCACTCTTCAATCTACCAAGAACTATAAATAAGTACCATTTTATAGATACCACCTGCATCCATAAAAAGTTTATCATTTAGGGAAGCAAAGGTTGTTTTGATATCAACTCTGAATATTTGAAAACATGAATGTGACCCATTTCTTTAAGACTGATTTTAAAAGTTTGCCCATTGTCTACAGATATGCATTTCATCTTAAATAGGAAAAATACATTTTTCATTTTCTAATAAAGTATATAAATTGTATACTATTTTACATCGTGATGGTGCCATTTAATTTTAACATATGTAAAGTATTACACAGCACCTGATACAGTCGATAAATATTCTCTAATATTACTTTATATTGTATATTCAGAGCACCATGGGTTCAGTATCTCTGACCTTCACAATGATTACAATCATGCCTACAGTTTAAGAACCATATTTGGTCTATTAGATATTTTTCAAATATTTTACAGTCAACATCTTGTTCCATTATATTAGATTTCTCTTCTCCATACATACGATTTTTAAATTATAACTTTGGAGCAATTGTAAAGATCAATGTAAGCATCATACTTCTATAATATACCACTCCTGATTCTTTCAGTCAGTTATGTGATAAATGTGCTTAAATTCCCTCTCATCACACAATGTTCCAATTATACCCACCTTTTTTCAGCAAAAATATTGTGACTATATTTTCTATGAATTTATTCAGCTTTAACAATCTATTTTATGCATTTCTAAAGCCTTAAAATAAACTCACCCTCAGCATACATTAAAAATTCAAAGATTAGTAGAATGATTTTTTAATCCTGTGGCTACTCTTCAAAGATTTTAACTCCTCCAGAGACAACTACTAAAATTATTCTTCTGTATGTCAAATTTATAAGATGAAAATTAGCTTTATTGAGTTTCAGGCCTTTTTCATTCTTCTTAAAGTTCAATTTACCTTTCTAAAATATATAGTTAACTACTAATTTCTTGGTGGTTTTATTTTATTGTACTGAACCTCCTTGTCATAAGTGATTTGCCAGCACACATATACACATTCAATAACTGGAAAAACCACCACAATTTTACAGTTTCTTTTATTCTTCCTGCTTTCCTATCCTCCACAGAATGTTTTTAACTACAGTGTTCTACTTCCTAATCAACTCATCTTAATTCCCCTCCAATTTAACTTCACTCTGCTATACTCCACCTAATCACTATACTCTCAAATCTCCACTTACCCCTTCTTTTTTTAAAAAAAAAATATATTTTATTGGGGAATTGGGGAAGGGGACCGACCAAGTTGTTGTTCTTCAATCTTCGTTGTGGAGCTCGTGGCCTCTAAGCTCAAGGTGCTGTGTTCAATCTTAGTTGCAGGTGGGTGTAGCCACCATCCTATGTGGGAGTCGAACCAGCAGTCCTGTTAAGAGCGCACATTCTATCTACTGAGCCATGCAGGAGGCAGCTCAGCTCAAGGTGCCGAGTTCACTCTTTAGTTGCGGGTGGGCATAGCCCACCATCGAACAGGCAATCTTGTTACACCAGCTGAGCCATCCTGCCACCTGTTGGCAGCTCAGCGACAGCTCAGCTCGGGTGCAGCGTCACTGGCCCATGTGGGAATCGACCCGCCGGCCCTGTTGCTCAGAGCTCGTGCTCTTAAGCCAACTCAACCAACTGAGCCATTCAGCTGGCCCATCCAATTACCCCTTCTTGATTCAACCCAAAGATCTCGGTTTTCATCATTCTTTACTGATGCATCAGACACTAGTGACTATTATCTCATATCACTATGGCCAAAGGAGCAGAACATTTTCATTGTATCTATATTTACATCTTAGACTGTTAATCAGATACACGCACTCATCAAATCCTAGGCTTCAATTATCATCTCTATTTGACAAACTTGCAATCTTACCTACTTTCTCAAACTCTGTACATCTCTGTGTGTCTTATATGTAAGGCATGTACATAAACACCTGAAATTTAGTATACTAAGAACAATTCATCTCCTTTCCCAACTAGAAAAATTTTGCCCCACATTACCTCCCTGCATACAATACACATTAAATGTTGAACAATGATAGAACAGAAAACACAACAGATTTTTAAGATACTCATGAATTTACAAGCTTTTGGAGAAAAAGATGATATTTCATAATACACAAAATGTACTTGTGTCCCTTGTTTATATTAAATTTTTCTTTCGTTTTGCTAAAAACTTCATATAACATTTCTTAATAAAGCTAGGGAAACCCTGAAGCCTACTTGTGATGTGGCTTAAAAGGTTACATGATAAGACCTATCCTTCAAATATGAGCTGGAAGATCTTGCTAAAATAAGAACCTTGTAATATAGCAAGAGCCAGTTCATTACATCTTGCCTCCAATCTCTTTTCTTCTTTCCAGTACATTTTCTTCTTCCCAGTTCATTGTCTACTCTGCACTCAGGATTATCTTTCTAAAGTATGGAACTAATCCAGTCAGTAATCAAAAATGCTTCCCACAGCACACAAAGTCAAGTTCGAATTCTGTAATCTGGTATTCAACTATTTACAATCTGGTGTCAGCATATTTGTCACATTTCAGTGCACCACACCGCCCCCCACCCACTTTGTTAAATTTATACCATCCTCCTCCATTAAGACCCAGCAAAAATAAGGGACTAATGATACATGGCAAGCAATGACTCGGCACCAAGACTACCAAGATAAAAAAGAATGGTCCTAGCTATAAAGAACCACATTTGGTGGAGAGACACACAAGCAAACAAATCAATGTTATTTAACAGAAAGGCTGTGACATAAAATACAAGCAGAATACAGATAGGCAAATTATTAATTCAAACTAGTAAGATCAGAGGAGCTTCGAGGAAAACATAAACAGTTGTTCATGGATCAAAGAATAACAGTTAACACTTACATAGCACTTACAATATATGCCAAAATCTATTACAAGTACTTTACATATATTAATCCCCATTTTCTTAGATGATGAAAATAACAAAAAAGAGTTTAGGTTAAACTAACATAATAATAACAACTATCATTTACTGAATACTTACAACATGCCAGGCACTGTGCTAAGCACTAAAGAAAAAACAATATTGAATTAAGGCCTTTAATATATATATATATAAAAGTGAGAGACGGCAGCTTTCCCATTTTGTACCTCCACTGATAAGTTTTTAACCCCCATGAGATTCTTTCTTAAAATAGGAAAAAATTGGGCCGGCCGAGTGGCGCGATGGTTAAGAACTGGCTTGGGACACCAGAGGGCCCCGGTTCGTATCCCACATATGAGGGCCAGTGACACTNCCCACATATGAGGGCCAGTGACACTGCCCTCCACAGCTAAGATGCTGAACAACAGCTCAACCTGGAGCTGGGCTGCCATGAGTCGCTGGCGACAGTGTAGGCTGCAGCCCCTGTGGCAGTGGGTTGCTATGGGCTACCGTATGTAGCAAGCGGCCAGCAGCCGCAGTGAGCGGCCGTCCAAAAGCTGGCGACTGATCTGCCTCTCCCGGGAAGAGCACAATGATGGTG